CACGTCTAGAAATAGCTTTGTTATAACTCCTCTGCCTTCTTTAGGATTCGGCGTTCTGAGAATATACAAATTCCTAGAGCCCTGAATCCCAAACATGTGCACGGGAACCCCCAAGATATCTGCATACAGCTGACTCAGCGTAAAAGTTCTCTGCAGTTCTCAGTAGAACCTTCGAAGAGACGTAATTCAGTTACAAATGGTGTTTACTCCAGTTAGAAACTGTTGAATTGAAACAGACTGAGTGGCTCATCAGTGGTAAAACAAAAGTAGGTAACACAGGCCTTCAGTTTAACAGCATTATCAGGCAGCCAGTCATATTGTGTTGATGTTTGATTAACCTTGTTTGGGTTATTTAGGTGTAAGAGTTGTTTCCACTGTTTAAAACTGGCTGAATCTTTTAAAGATAACTAACCTAACCGGCTCGATATCACACAAGTGTTAGAATTTAGTTTTTTCCAAAGACATTATAGGAGTGAGACGAGGAAAAATCTTAAAGTGAGTCTGGGAGAATTCCCCAACAATAAATATGATGGCAGAAACCAACAACAACAGGTTTAACTGGTGATTCTGTAACGGCCCTGTGGACCATTAAAATCTCATTTAGATGATGTTTCAGAGTAGCTGTGCAGTGCGAGGCTTCATTCTGCTGCCAAGTGATGAGATTTGCATCTAGAATTGTTTTTTTAAGACATTAGCATAAATCGTGGTTTGCGTATCTTTCGTACGTGTGTGTTCAGGTCAGCTGCAGCAGGACGGGGTGTGTGTGCAGCTGTGGCAGTGTGACTGTGTGGACTCACTGGGGCAGATTTGGGTGGCCGGCAGCACACATCAGGTGGACTGCAACAACTGCACCTGCTCTGACGGACAGCTGCTCTGCAGCAACGACAGCTGCCAGGCTGCCTGTGTGTGGAGCTCCTGGTCCAGCTGGGCTCCCTGCAGTGTTTCCTGTGGACAGGGCCAGAGAACCAGATACAGGTGAGGACACGGCAGCTTCCTCCTGGGACCTGGACAAAGGAGACATGGTTTGTTTTGTAAACTGTTACATTCTTGTTTGAGCACGTCCGTGTTTGGACATTAAAATGGATCCAGATGGACGAAAGTTTGTTTTTACAAATCTGAAACTGGATTTTAAACAGGTTTTAAGTGGTACGCTCTTTAACAACGAGACGGAGATCATAACAATCAGAAAATCGATCATAAATATTGTTTCCAGTGTAGAGATGGCAC